AGTTAAAAGAAAGGGTATTGCAAAAGTGGACAGTTTCTCTCACACAATTCTTTTGCTTGTAACAGTACCTGCTCATGCTTGATCTTGACTTGTAAGCAGAAGGTTTGCGAGTCTTCTGTTCTCCAGATCCTTCCTGCCCGGCCACTCTCCGGCTGCTCCTCCAAACCCCTTCCGCCACCAGTCTGCATCTGTCCTGCATCGCTGTCCAAGAAATGGTGGGCAGGAGCTGACGGCAATTTACCCCTGATCAACACATATATTTAGATCTTAAGGTTAACAAATTTCTTACAGAAGTAGGTATGTACATATTTATTTGGTATCACAAATCATTTTTATTGTTATTAAGGCCCCACTAAATTAATATTTTCACTTAAATACCATCTTTGTATCAATTCTGTGACCAGTGGGTTGGTCATCTGGTTTCTCACTAAGTGTAACTATTTAACGAACACCAAACAGTTGAAGATAAATTCGAGAAATAAAATCACTTCTAATAAAATATATTAATGCGCCGCACAATGTATTAACTGCACACAGCCAGCGTCAAGACAGAAGGTTAAATCAGAACTACCTGCATTTCTTGAAGCCTCCCCCTCCCATGGAGAGTGGAAGGGGCCCAACAAATGGCGAGGGTAACTGAGAAAAAGGATGAGATGCGGGAGAGTCCTGGGCCACTCGACAAAAGCAGGCCTTGCAAAAATTATGGCTTCTGTCGGAATGTAAGAGAGCCCTTCTGGATGGTATTGAGAGGCGGGAAAAAAGAGCTGGGGGGATGATACCTAGGGGAGGACACACGGTTATCACATAATGCAGCAGTAATGCTAAAATTTTTGTAGGGACGGAAGTTTGTTTGAACGAAAAGGGGAGTGAGAAAACTGGTCGTCAGAGATGGCAGGGGAGGAAGCGACGTAACTTGTTGTTAAATACACAGGGGGATATAATTGTTTTAATACACGGGATTAGCGACACATGTTCAACATGTGTCACAACTGTAGCCGCCAAAAAAGGAAAACGTTCGCCGTATGGGAAATAAAAAGCTTTACTTAAAAGTTTTAAGACAAGATTTACCAGGTCGAGGGATAACACACAATCGCATCATTCGTCTCCGTTACTCGACACTTTCACTGGGGAAAGGAAAATTGGCATATTGTACGCCAAAATGTGGCTGTTAGGTGTTTGGGTGGTGCTGTACCAAATCGGTAAGGGTGTGTCATATTCTGACCCATATGGGTCCTGACCAAGGAGGCAAGTTCAAATCCAAAACTAAACTTTTCCTGCATATAACCAGCTTTTGCCTACTCCTCTTTTCTATTCTGTCCATCTGATATACATGATTGCAACAGCCAGTGCATCAATGACTCAGATAGTTAATCTTATTAAGAACAAACTCTCCTTTGTACACTATTTGTATGTACTTATGTGGATGCTTATTATGCATTAGAACATACCCCTCCAGGGTGCTGTAGGGGTTGAGGCTAGGCCTAGCTCAAGCCCTTCCCTCAGTTCACCAGCATGCTTCACCAGCAGACGGAGAAGACGCAAGGTTGCCATGACGATCACATCGTCATTGCTCTGTTTGGTGTTGTGACAGGACAGCAGGAGTTTAGGGTCATCCTCATCAATAGGGACCTAAAACACACAATACACATTTACGAAGGACTGAGTCATAGTCTTTAACAGCAACACACTGTTTGTCATTAGGTCTCACCTGTCCAGCATTTAGCTTGAGGAAGGTAAAATAGGCCTGGCAGGACACCCGGTACAGGCCGAAGATGCGGTCCACCACCCGTCTCCAAACTCGGATCAGACCATCTGTGACGGGCTGGCCCGCTTCTCCCAGCCAAGGGCACGAGGCGGTCAGCTGCCGCCAGATCACTTCCACCATGTCGTCCTCGTCTTCCTGCTGTAGAGCCATGTCCTCATCCTGACACACAACAAAGTAGTAGGATCAGAACAATCTGCACTGCTGAGCAGTGATCTGTTAATAATGCATGTAGTGCACACGCTGGGCATTCATGCAGCCTCTTGCAGTTGCTCCTGCTTGCCTTCTTATTATATACTGTTATATACCCTACCTGTATGCCAGTGGGTCGACACATGGCCTGTCCGAGAATGCTGAAGATGGTGTCCTTGTCTTCTTCACTGGTGGTTGCTGGTAGCAGCTCCTCTATCTCCCTTTTCTCCCCAGGAAGAAGAGGCAAACCCTCTCCTTGGCTGATGAGAGAAAAAAGAAATCAATTAGAAGTAGTACTACAGAATGCTGCTTACTGGCTTGGAAATACAAACAGAGTTTTAAAAAGGAAGTTTTTCCTGGCCGCCATCGCCGAGTGCTTGCTCATGATGGGAACTG